AGTAGCTGGGGCTACAGGTGCCCGCCACAACACCCGGCTGTTTTTTTTTGTTGCAGTTCAGCCAGGGCTGTGTTTGAACCTGCCACCCTCAGTATATGGGGCCAGTGCCCTACTCACTGAGCCACAGGCACTGCCCTAGTTCCATATTTTTCAATCAACAAATGCTTGTTGCTCACCTACTATGTGCCGGGTTCTGTGTTAAGTACTAGAGACACAGCAGAGAATCAAACAAGATCTTTTTCTCAAGGAACTTGCATTCTAGAAAGTGGAAAACATAAACATACATCCTCTGGGAGGTGTTGATAAGAGCGGTGAAGAAAAATAAAAGTTATGGGGGTAGAGAGGGAGAGCCCAGATAAGACCGCTCTGAAAAGCTGCTGTTAAGGAGGGAGGGAGCACACTCTTTCTGATATCTGGAGGCAGCCCCTTCCCAGCAGAGCAAACAGCAGGAGCCAAGGCCCTAAGGCTGGAGTGTGTTCTCCAGGAGACCAGTATAGCTAGAATACAAGACAGAAGGCAGGGCACTGAACCAGCAAGATAATATTCCTAAAGCCTGGAAGACCCTAGTAAGGTCTAGAGTTGGCTTTTGTTTGGAGAGATAGGAGAAGACTTCCCAGGTTCTGAACAGAAGAGGGCTCGGGAGCTGTCCCAAGAATATGGGAGAAAGAAGAAGCCCTTGGGGGGTGTCCTCTAGACTAGAACTCCATTGCTCTCCCAAGAGACAAAGGTCATTGCATTAAAGGGGTTGAAATGATGAGATTCTGGATATTTGAAATTATTTTTGAATTTCAGTCTTTTTTAAAGAGATAAATCTTTGCATAGTTTTAATCATGCAACATATACAATTTAATGTCCTGGTTTTTTACTTAATAGTATATGATGTTTTCCCTGTTGGTATATATCCTAAATAAATGCTTTTAGTTACATAAAATTTCATTGAGGGGTGTTCTATAGTTTATTGTTTTCCTATTATGAAAACTTAATGTGTTTTCATTTTTTTCACTATTGTTATTTTAAAAATATTATTTGTGGCCAGGTGATGTGGCTCACACCTGTAATCCTACACTCTGGGAGGCCGATGCAGGAGGATTGTCTGAGCTCACAGGTTCAAGACCAGCCTGAGAAAGAGTGAACCTCATCTCTAGAAAATAGCCGGGTATGTGGCGAGCGCCTATAGTCCCAGCTACTGGGGAGGCTGTGGCAAGATAATCACTTGAGCCCAAGAGTTTGAGATTGCTGTGAGCTGTGACAGCACTGCACTCTACTGAGGGCGAGAAAGTGAGACTTTGTCTCAAAAATTTTTTTAAAAAGTCAGAGTGGTGCCTGTAGCTCAAGAGGCTAAGGCGCCAGCCCCATACACCAGAGCTGCCGGGTTCAAATCCAGCCCAGGCCTGCCAAACAATGACAACCACAACCAAAATATAGCCGGGTGTTGTGGTGGGCCCCTGTAGTCCCAGCTACTCGGGAGGCTGAGGCAAGAGACTCGCTTAAGCCCAAGAGTTTGAGGTTGCCATGAACTGTGACACCACAGCACTCTACCCAGGGCTAAAGCTTGAGGCTCTGTCTCAAAAAAAAAAAAAAAAAGAAAAAGTCCCAGCTGTTTGAGAGGCTGAGGCAGGGGGATCACTTAAGCCCAGAAGGTTGAGGTCGCTGTGAGCTATAACACCATGGCATTCTACCAAGGGCCAAAAAGTGAAACTCTGTCTCAAAAAAGAAAAAAATTTTGTAAGGGTTTTTTTTGTTGTTGTTGTTGTTGTTTGTTTGTTTGTTTTAGTGTTCATTAAGATGAGTTCCCCAGAGTGGATTTGTTCAATCAAAGACTTAAAAATTTTTGGCTGGGTGCCCATAGTGCATTGGTTGGGGTGCCAGCCACATGTACTGGGGCTGGTGGATGTGAACCCGGCCCAAGTCTGCTAAAATAACAATAACAACAACAACAAAAAAAATAGCTGAGCATTGTGGCAGATGCCTGTAGTCCCAGCTACTAGGGAGGCTGAAGTAGAATTGCTTAAGCCCAAGAGTTTGAGGTTACTGTAAGCTGTGATGCCACAGCACTGTACCAAGGGTGACATAGTAAGACTCTGTCTCAATTAAAAAAAAAAACCAATAAATACTTAAAACTTTTTATTATAGGAAACTTCAAATAAACATAAAAAATAAATAAATAACATAAAACGAACTTTACAGTTTCAACAATTATCAACATTTTACCAGTATAGTTTATTTACTCTCCCACCCCCAAATCTGTTTGCTGGAATCTTAAAGAAAATCTGAATGTATTTTGAAGGGAGAGTCAACAGAATTTGCTGACATACTGGGTTTGGGAGGGAAAGAGTAGTCCAGGATGCTCCAAGATTGGGGCTATAGCAATAGGGAAAAATTGGCCCTGACTTGCAGGGTGACCTTTAAGCAGACCCCTTCACCTCCCTCACTTCTGCATTACAGGTGCTAATGGTGTTCACTATGTTTCTCAAAGGGCAGTCTGCAGAGGTTCCTGGGAGTGCTGGTTGGTAAGGTAGACCTCTGGTAGCCACCCCAGATCTGAAGAAACAAAATATCTGGTGGGTAGTGCCCAGGAATCTGCATTTTTCTCAAGCAGCTACAAGTGATTTTGATGTCCAGTGACCCAAGACCTGCTTCAGTGGTGATCCTTGGACCAGCAGCAGCAGTATCACCTGGGGAGCTTGTTAGAAGTGCAGAGTCCAGGGGTACAAGTGAATCTTTCTAAGAGTAGAATGTGAACGTTTTAAAACAATAACTGAGAAAATGACATGAAGGCTGCGTTGACCAGTTTGATGGAAGTATTTCAGATTGCATGTGAAAAACCCACACTGTACCCCAGAAGTGCATTAATGTACATAGTTACCATTCAATAAAAAAAAAAAAAGAAAGAAAGAAATGCAGAGTCAGCCAGGCTCAGTGGTTCACACCTGTAATCCTAACATTCAGGGAGGCGGAGGCAGGAGACCAGCCTAAGTC